TGTGGCTGCATTCTGGACTAGCTGAAGTCCTGGAACACTTTTCAAGGGAAGCCCCATGTAGAGCGTGTTACAGTAATCCAGTCTTGAGGTGACGAGGGCGTGAGTGACTATCTGAAGTGCCTCCTGGTTCAGGTAGGATCACAATTGGTGCACCAGGCGGACCTGGGCAAAGACCCCCCCTGGTCACAGCCAACAAATGGTGTTCTAAAGCCAGCTGTGGGTCCAGGAGGACTCCCAAATTGCGAACCCTCTCTGAGGGGCATATAATTTTACCCCCCAGACTGAGAGATGGAATAGTTAGCCAATCTTTGGGAGGGAGCATCAATAGCCATTCAAAATAAAGCAATAAAGCAAAATATTCTCTATGCATACTGAATAAAGAATGCTACTTTTTATATAACTTTGTCCCTTATATAACAAAATACTCTGGTAAAAGGGAAGTCTGTACAATCTGTGGGCTATTTTTTGCTAATTGTAGTATCTTCAGTTAAGTTATTTTTAAAATACTGGTTAGAATAAAAAGTAAGTTTCACTGCCTATGCAAAGAAAGCCTGCTGTTGAGTGAAATGTATGCATAATAGTCAAATAATTTTAAGCAGAACTTGTCAGATTTTTATGACTACACTCAAGATCATCTTTTCATAAGCTAGGGCGATATTTCAGAACATTTTAGTAAGAATAATGCTGTTGTCATATAATGTGGATAATAATCACGGCTTCAGAAGAATACTGCCACACCCAGCAGTGGTGCTAAAGTATTTACAACATACTAATCACATCATATAAAAGCTATCAACTCATTATATAATATAAAAACACTTTTTGTCTGCCTTAATTTTGGAATCAAATTATTAAAGCTCCTGTTTTATGGCTTTGTATGGTAATCAGAACATAGCTCCCAGCTTTATTAATCTTGATTCAAATTTAAGTTTCCTGTGCTGAATTATAGCTTTTTAAATTGAGCAAATTTTGAACTCAAAAGTCAAACTGTCTTGAAAGTGTTAAATACACTGAAATAATTTTGTCAAAATCTTTTATGCTTCTTGTATGCTTTACTGAGTGTTGCTTAGACTACTTTTTGGCACTTTTGCACATTGTCCTGCAATATCTAGAAAAGATGTGATTTCCAATATTCAGACTTATAACATTCCCCTGCACAAGACACATGTTTAGAAATTAAATACTTTCCTGTTGACAAAATTTAAAATTCTTATTTTAAAAATAATTTTTACTACTTCTAATCCTCTACCAGACTCTAAAGCATTCAAGGGAAAAAGATGGCAGCGGTGTCGACTGATGCCCAGCAGGTATGTCTCAATTAAATAAAGGATATTAGGCTACTTTTGAGGAAGAATTGTGAGTAAATCATCTTGTATTTCATATTTTTGCAGAACGTAGTTTCCAGGGTTGCTAGTTTGCCCCTGGTGAGTTCCACTTACGATATGGTCTCTTCTGCTTATGTCAACACAAAAGATAATTACCCCTATCTGAAATCTGTCTGTGAGATGGCAGAGAAAGGAGTGAAGTCTATTACAGCAGTGGCCCTGACCAGTGCCCTACCCATCATCCAAAAGTTGGAGCCACAAAGTAAGCCATAATACTTCTTCTCCACACTTTTTTTTGGAACTTCAGGAGTTTAGTGTGTCCTCTTCATTTCTTTCTGTTTTTTAGCCTGAAAAGCACTTTCAACATCTTTTGTATGATCCCTTACATCTCTGTTATTCTAGTTCCTTAAAAGAATTTGAACAAAGCTTGACACTAGAGTGTTAAAAGCTTGGAAATAGGTGTGAAAGATGGGTGGAATGAGAGATTAAATGAGATGAGATGGCAGGAGGTCAGTTCCTCCTAATGTGTCATATGCTGCTTGCTGCATATTACATTCCTTTCTTTTAATTTGAGTATGTCACTGGCCCCGACACCAGAGCCAAAATGTGTGCGCTCAAACAGAACATTTTCTCAACATGTCATTTGCTGAACCTACTTCAAATAATAACTCTTTGCAGAATGTTTAATAATGTCTGCAGCAAACCTAAGAGCTGCCATGACTGAACTAGGTTTAGCCTCTGAGATTAAAAGTCTGATGGCTTATGTGTCAGGAACTTTAAAGAACTTTGATTCATAAGCTCATACATAAATAAATAGCTGTTGCTCAAGCTTGCTGGGTCATCACTCTTCACCCACTTCCACCCAACGACTACATTTACCTTTCACCTACTTTCTAAATGCCTCACTCTCAGAAACTGCAGTTTATATTTTATACAGTACTCATGCGTGGGTGTCGACTCAAGGAAATCTAATTTTGCAAAGTGACAGCAGGCCGGGAAATATTTGGTCTTTTTTTTGGAGGGCTCTTTCAGCTTGCTATTGGGAACGTTATACTTAACTTTGGCCTTAAAAGATGAATTCAGGAGGGTTCCTGTTTTATGATGGCAAAAAAAAGCTGAACTAGTTTTTGATACTTCCTTAATTTGGAGGCCAAAGGGCCATTTCCAATATACGTCATTGGAGGCCTTGGGGGAAGGTCACAAACTAAGGCTGTTTTAATATCCTTTCACCGCGGCTTGTAAAGAAGGAAGTAATAAATAATCTGTACTAACAACCATGGCTAGACTGGTTTTCCATGGATCGGTTCAATCTTTTTTTAAAAACCACAAAACAATTCTTTGATGAAGACAAACTTGCTGTTCCACCTGTGGGTAGCAAATTCAGTTGTTTAATGATGCGCTGGAACAGCCAGTTTGGTGCAGCAGTTAAGGCACACACGGCTAGAGACCAAGAGCCCAGGATATTAGGTTCTAATCCCATCTTGGCCACAAAACTAGCTGAGTGATTTTGGCCAGTCATTCATTCTTAGCTTTAGGAAGAAAACAACAGCCAATCACTACTAGAGGTCTTGCCAAGGTAACTGTTTGGGCTTGTATAGGCAAGTGCCAGGGGTCAAGGCTGACATGAAGGGGACTAATTTATTATTTACTCGGAGTATGTGAAAAAGGTTTCCTTACGTGGGTCCTGAACCTCCCTGCATTTAGTTCCAGTAGATGACTTTGATTTGCATCAGCATATGAAAAGGGAAGAAAAACTAACCTTTCACATGCAATGTTATTCTATGTTATGTATAATTTTATATACTTCTGCCATGGCTGTCCTTAAACTGTTTAGTAGTAAATTTAAAAGCCACCAATTGCTTGCCTCAGAGAACAGCTATTCTTTTCAGGAAGGTTGTAAGGAGAGTGTCATAAGAACTCCAACTTTATAGAATACCCTGATATTAAGGACACTTAGAAATAGATGCATATTTATTGCATTTATTGCCCAATTTCTGACCTAAAAATTTAAATTATTCCTACAAAGGTAAGCATAAACATATTTACTTAGAGTTTAGACTTAAGCTGCAGAGGAATTTACCTCCTTATAGGTATTCTTAGAGTTACGACCATTATTCAGCAACGATTTTAATTGCAACAGTGCTGAATAAAGGGACTTACGATTGGTCCTTGAAATTCCCTTTTATCTTCTTTCTTTGACCTCTCTATCTTCACTTGTATCCCACACACCCTGCACTCATGCCCTCTTTTTTTGGGGCTCCCTATGCACATACACCCATGCACCCTTCACCCCCTTTCCCTAATTCACCCCATACCCTTTTTCCCTGCACTCCCCCGCATGGACAAAAAAGGTACACTTTTCCCCACATCTCCCTGTGTTCACACACATGCAAATACCTTTTATCCTCTTTCCTGCCTCTGTGCATTCACATGCGCACACCCCTCCTCTGCTTTCTTTAGCTTCCCTGCATTTTCACACATGAGCACTCTGTGCCCTCTTGGCCTACATGCACTTGCACATATATGCTCACCCCATGCCCTTCCCTCTCTCAGCCTCTCTTTGCTAATACACAATACCCTGTTCCCCCAGCCTGCCTGACCCCAACACCCCCTCCGACACTTGTATGCAGCCTGTGTTGCACATAGTTTGGCACTTTTATCACAATCTCTGGTATTTTTCCACCTGAAAGCCTTTCCTCATCCAGTTTACTTAGGAACATTCTCTCGTTTTGAAAACCATCCCTTACTGAACTTTGTTTTAAAAGAAATTTCCATTCTGGTATTTTTCCACATGCTGTGGGTCTCATGTACTGCTTCTGTCATATGTATCCATTCATACCTTCACACATCTTGTGCAGTGATGTGTCTGCATTGCATATGTACACAAATGCACATGCCAAACATCTACCAATGGATATTATTTATTTTACTGTGTAGTGCAGCACAGAGAGATAGGCGGCAAATAAATTTAACGAACAAATAAATGACACTCCCCAATCCTGTAATAATTTTCCTTGCCCTTTCGGTACTTTTTCAAATATTGTCAATACCAAATTATTCTACTTAAAGTGCCGGATCCATAACTACACCCCATAGGATTGTTCAGCAATATCTGAACTCTGCCCTTAATTGTTTCAGTTGCAGTGGCTAATACCTATGCTTGCATGGGTTTGGACAAAGTTGAAGAAAAATTGCCTATACTCTATCAACCAACTGGTAAGGTAGGTTGCTGGGACATATTTTTATTTGCCTTCAATCCCATCATCTCATAATGGGGCTGTGTTCAAATGACCTGGATTAGTGCTTGACATTTAGAGGGGCAGTTAGATTGGATTAGACCTAATCCATTTTGAGCAAATGTGCAATAAACCTGAAGGGCTGACTATGATGTTAGTTGATAAAAAAATAGGTTCATTCATGGATTTGACATCTATTGTTTCATGGATAGATCAATTGAAAATTCTCACATATAAAATATCATATAATCTCTCTAGGATAGGAGGTTCTATCTGTTCATAAAGCCTGTTTTGCATCTGTGAAATGTTTTATACTGTATAACCCCCCATGAGCAAGGAAGATGCAAAATATTTTATACAGGTAGTCCTTGACTTAAAACAGTTGACTTAGTGACCATTCGAAGTTACAACAGCATTGAAAAATGTGACATGACCATTTTTCACACTTACGACCATTGCCGCATCCCCATGGTCACATGTTTTACATTCGGATGCTTGACAACTGACTCACATTTATGACGGTCACGAGTCATGTGATCTCCTTTTGTGACCTTCTGACAAGCAAAAGTCAATTGAGAAACCAGATTCACTTAAC